ACTTTTGGAAGACCTATATTTTCATTACTCTGAAAGGAAATCCCATACCCATTATCAGTTTCTACTCATTTCCCACTCTCTTCGGCCCCTGCTACCAACCTACTGTCTCTACAAACTTTATTATTCTAGACATCTCACATAAATGAAATTATTCAATGCATGGGTTTTTGTAATGATGTTCTTTACTCATCATAGTGTTTTCAAGTTTCATTCATGGGACATGCATTATTTTCTTGATGAATAATATTCCATTGTGTGGACACACCACATTTTATTATCTATTTTTCAGTTGATTGTAATTTGGGACATATGAAATTTTTCACTATTATGTATGATTTTGCTATGAACATTCATGTACAGGTTTTTGTGTGGACAAATGTTTTCATGTCTTTTGGGCATATACTTAAAATAGAATTGGTGGGCCATGTGGCCACTCTATGTCTGATTTGTTGAGAAACTGCCAAACTACTTTGCAAAGTGGCTGCACCATTTTATAATCCCACCAGCAATGTGAGAGAATTCAACTCTTTCAATGCTTGTTTTTGGCTGTCTTTTTTTATTATAATTATCCCAACAGGTGTGAAGTAATATTTTATTGCAGTTTTGATTTTAACTTCCCTAATGATTAATGATGTTGAGCATTTTTTCATGTGCATATTGGCTATTGGATCTCTTGTTTGTTAAAAAGAAAAAGTCTATTCAAATACATTGTTCATTTTCCATTAGGATACCTGTCTTTTTTATCTTTAAGTTGCAAGACTTCTTTATATATTCTGAATACAAGTCACTTATTAGACAAATCCCATTCTGTGGATTGTCTTTTTTATTTTCTTCATGTATTGTTTGAATCATCAATGTTTTAGTTTTGATTAAGTCTAATATATTTATTTTTTCCCTTTGCCAAAGGAGCTTTTGTGTTCATAGCTAAGAAACCAGTGCCTAACATAAGATCACAATGTTTTGCTCCTGTGTTTTCTTACAAGAGATTTATAGTTTTAGCTCTTACTTTAAGTCTAGGATACATTTTGAGTTAACCTTTTTAGATGGTGGATCCAATTTCATTGTTTTGTAATATTGACCTCTAGCTGTCCCAGCATGATTTGTTGAAAAGATCTTTTTTTTCAAATTGAATTTTCTTAGCATACTGAATTTTTAATTTTTAATTTTATTTTGCTTATATTTCCTTCAGCCACCTGAGAACTATATTATAAAAGATATATCTGGGAAGCATAAATCTAATATGTGCTTTTTCAAAAGATGGGTGAGTGATACAATACCATTAATTGAATGTATATTTCTTCCTGGCTACTTTGAAATGTCACCTCTCTCTTATATACAATTTCTATGAATACCCCATAATAACTTCTGGACATTCTCATCTTTCCTAGAACAAATCTTTCAGAATTTTTTAAAACTATATTATTTTAAAAAAGGCATATCATTACTTTGCTACATTTTTATTCTGATCTTATATCCTACTAGACTTCTTGGTTTTAGTTTCTTACTCACACTCTTTTTGTGTTAAATTGAAAGCATAAATCATTTGACTATATCATTTCAGGCTTGCTGACATAACAAGCTATAAATCTCCTCCTGGTTAGATTTAAGTGTCATGTTCAAATTTTTTCCTGATTCTAAACAGTCATTAATGCAGGTTGGTGTCCCTCTTTGGTTGAAGGGTAACTTGTAAAAGATCTTATTTTCTCTTCTTCACTTGATATTATACACTGAGAACACATAATTGTGGGGTAAACCCCCACAAAAATTAAATGAAATGTACTCTTTTAATTCCAGAACTGAGCAAAAAGACTTGTGAGTATTATGTGCTTTTGT